AATTGAAGAAAGTGGTCAATATAGTTGATTAAAATGAATCTATCATATTTATATATATATTTTTCCAAAATAACTCTTGTCATTAATTCCCTCTCTTTCTCTCTTAATTGTTTGTCTTTGGGATTTATAAAAGAAAAGATAAATTTATAATTCGAGTATTGTAAGTAAGGCCAGATGGAGTACCATTTTTTTAATAATTGAATGTGGCCTATTTAACTTGTGTATCTCACAACTTTCCGGCTTGAAAGAAATTGCTTTGCGTAAGTTTAGCTGTAATTGCAGATTAATGCCCCACGCATTCGAGTTTATCCTATAATTTTCTTTTGTCAGTGTAATGAAGATCTTATCATTGTCCATGAGGCTCTGGAGTACGGTGATTGTCGTCTATCCCTTGCGGTTGGTTTAAAATATGTTGTAAAACTTCTAGATTCTGGTCTTGTCATTGTTATGCACAATAAGTTATCTGGAACATCCTCTGTTTTTTCAGATTCCCCAATATGGAATATTTGAAAATGTAAATTCAGTGGAGGAGCTTGCCAAAATGCCTCAATGGACTGAAGATAAGCCTCTGAGAGTTGCTACTGGATTCAGCTATGTTAGTGTTTAAATTTCAATTTTTTGTTTCCTAGTATTATCTCTGTGTTTGAGTTTATACTGTTATATTTTAAAAAGAGAAAAATTGATCTCAATTTTGGATTTACTGTTCAGCTGGGGCCAAAATTTATGAAAGAGAGTGGACTTAAGCATGTGACATTTTCAACTGCTGATGGGGCACTGGAGGCAGCTCCTGCGGTGAGAGATACTGTTTGTTTACTAGAATTCGTTCATTTAAATTTTCTAATTATCAAGCACGTGATCTTTTGTGTTATGACAATACTCCCAGCATGTTGGGGTTGTGGATGATGTTACCTGCTATACATGTTTATAGATATGATAATATATCTTTGTCCTCTTACTTAATATACTAGTCTAGGAGTTGAAAACGATGATGTTTAAATGCCATATAAAGGATGAAAGACTGTTAAACTGCAGAAACATAGTAGCTGGCTAAGTTTTGCAATATATTTATAGAGATGTCACAAGAAAATAAAGAAGGTTTTAAAAATTCTGCAGTGCTTTGTTGAATTGTGAAATTTAATCAAATTACCAATGTGCCTTCCCTCTGTGTGTACGTATGCTGTTTTATCTTATGAGGTGTGGTCTGGAATGTGATCTGTGGTTAACTACTGGGCTAAAGGTCTGTTGGCAACATCTAATACGGTAATTTTTCAGTCAAAATTTTGACCATTTCATGGTGCAGACGAGAAAATCTTTTGTACAAATAATATAAAATCGCTACCCAAATTATCCCTCTGATTTTGCATCTAAAATGAAGTATCTATTACTACATGTTCAATTTAGTGATGGTACTGCCATACATGCGGTATTTGTTATTTATAATCTTAGTAATGTTTTGTTTTTTCTCTATTTAGATGGGGATAGCTGATGCTATCTTGGACCTTGTAAGTAGTGGGACCACACTGAGGGAAAACAACTTGAAGGAAATCAAAGGTGGAGTTGTTTTGGAGAGCCAGGTTAGTAACTGTTGACTTTTCTGATGTTGACTATGACGATTTGTTGGTTGTACATTAAAAAACAAGCTAGGCATGGGAAATCTGCTTCTGTATTCTCTCCATTGTCAGGCTGTCTTACTCTGACAATTGAATGCTCTTCAGGCTGTTCTTATTGCAAGCAGGAAATCAATGATCCAACGTAAAGGAGTACTTGAAACAACACATGAGATGCTCGAGCGATTGGAAGCACATCTGAGGGCGATTGGGCAGTTCACGGTGCATAGTTTATGATTCTCAATATCTCTACCATCGTCGTCTTTATTTTAATTCCACTTTCTAATGCTTGACTTGACAGGTTACTGCAAACATGAGGGGAAGCAGTGCAGAGGAAGTGGCTGAGAGAATACTCAGTCAACCATCATTAGCTGGTTTGCAGGTGTGATATGAAATGAAGTTTTCGGGCTTTCTAATTATGACATTTTTTGTTACAACTGTTTCCCAATTGTAAAAAACGCACTTGATTGTCTGTCTGCAGGGTCCCACTGTAAGTCCTGTTTTCTGCAAGCGTGACGGGAAGGTAACTTCGGACTATTATGCCATTGTCATATGCGTGCCTAAGAAGGCATTGTACAAGTCTATACAACAACTGAGAGCGGTGAGTTTTTGAGCTAATGAAATTCTTGGAATTATTATCATTTATCAAAGAGAAAAGATATTTTGCCACCACTATTTATGAAACTGGTGTGGAGATATTTGTTAGCTTGTGGGGTAAAACATACGAGTAAAATTTGGAGATGAGGGTAGAATGGGCGTTGGTGATTTGAATGATTGATTCCCCTTATCACTGGCTAGCCACCAACTGCAAGTTTCACCAGAAAATTCTTGAAAATTTTTTAAAGCTTCCGCTTATCATGTGGCATTATATTTGAGCAAAATACAATGGTCGCTGCTTTACTCGCATATCAAAAACTATTTCCTTGTTCATCTTTGATTCTCATGATTTCCTGTTGACTACAATGCATCAGATTGGAGGCAGTGGAGTTCTTATATCACCCTTGACCTATATTTTCGATGAAGAAACTCCAAGATGGCGTCAGCTCCTATCTAAACTTGGGCTGTAGCCATTTATGATCAATTCATGGAGACATTAGTGGATGTTTCGTTTTTCCAATTCTGCCAAAGCAGAAGATTAAATCTATGGTGAAGGCTGCAAAAGACGAGTAGTATACCGGAATGGAGGACTTAGATAACTTAAAATCAGTTTTAGCTTGTTATTTATAGCGGAAACCTACTGCCACATTGCTCTATAGATTAAAAATTTTGTAGCAAGCCTGCATCGTCTATCTTTCTTTCGTTCTCTTCATAACATTGGTAATGGCTAGAATAGTGACTCTGTCTTCTTGTTGGTGGTGGGGGATATGTTTTAAGTTTAACTGCTCTGGGATTTTGCTTCAGTGTTGTAATTTTAATGCTTTAAGTGGTTTTTATTTGTGACCTTAATCGCTGGCCAACTATGGAACGAGGTTATGATATTAGAAGCTGGCGCCACCGCCCAGTGAAGAATTATGTCTTAATGAATGATTTTTTTAGCTGCTTTGCTGTTTGTGCTTGGTAGTCTCCTCCCTTCATCTTCCTAAAGTGACGCCTTCTCTCTTCCCTTTTTTTCTTCCTCCCCCGATTCTCTTTTTACCCTTTTTCTGCCTTTATCGCTTCCTTTTCCCTCTTTTTCTTCCTCCTCTTTTCCTCCACCACTTTCTCTCCTTCTCCATCTTATTTCAGCTTTTACTCTTTATACTCAAAAGTACATTTTATATTTTGCGCAATGTAGACTATATTTTTTATTTTTGTATTTTGGTAACTATTATTTGAAATACAAATGTTTTATATTTTAAATTGTACATTTAAAAAATGGTTCGAGAATATGTATTTCGGAACTTAAGATGAAAGTGGGAGAATTGAAATTTTTAAGTGAAAGGAAGAAATTACGGAATTGCACGAAGAAAAAAATGAGTTAGAACCTGAGACTAATTTGGTTTATCACGGGTTTGAGTCGGATTGGATTTGAAAAAAAGTGAAATTTTTTATATAGATCAATTTTTAACCCGGTTCACCCAGATTGAATCCATGGTGAGCTGCATTGGCTCACCAACTCACCTAGTTTAATTTAATTATTTATTATTTTAGATTTTAATATTATTAATTAACATTTTTTTTATTGTATAGTGAATGGAAATAAATAAAAAGACTTTAAGTGACACAAACTATCAATATTATAAACTTATTTATTTTTTGGGTTTGTTTTTGGATTATATTTGAGTTGTATGTTAATTTTTTTATTTTGAGTTGTCTTTGTTTTTTTTTAATTTAAAGAAAAACTTGTAATTAAGTGAGTCAATAAGTCAACCTCTGGTGAGCTGAGTCAAATTCAAATTTTTTCGACTCGCTAATAAATGAACTAGATTGGGTTGACTTATTAAGTGACCAATCCGTGGTAAACCAGGTCAGGTTGGGCAAGATGACCCGTTTTAACAGCACTATCCAGAAGTAAACATACTCTTTTGATAGGAGCTCACGTTCTTTCTCAATATATGTTATAGAAGTCATAGAGATAAATGTCTTTGCTGACTGAAATCTTGAGGTCCAAGCTTGTATTGTTTCAATTTTGGTTGTTGGTTAAGAAACATTCTTAGTGAAGTTTTGTCGCACCACGAACTAGTCAGTTAGGTTCATAATAAAATTTTATTGCATCATCAACAAGTTGGTCAAAGAATATTCCTCGCAAACTCTTATTATGTCTCTAATAAAGTTATGGAACTTTCTTAGGGAACTCATGTCCCCTCTTAAACAGATCGATCATAGAACATTTTAAGAGGATTCCTACCATACTTTCAACCAAAAAGTTTATCACACTGGCCCGTCGATTTAGTGTCAGGACAATCAAGAAAGTTTTGAAAAGAATCATTGTGATCTCACAAGCAATCAGCTTATCTGTAACATAAACGATTATAGTGTAAAAAGTTTAGGAAGCGTCTTGACTAATCATCGAGAAAGCATTCAACTGTAGATCTATCTTAATGAAAAAAGCATCCAACTAATCGATCCACACCATTTAGTCTTCGCGAAGGCGTTCTACTTGTATATTAGTTTTCACTCGATTTTACCAAGCGATCAAGAATTATTCTACAAATCTTTACCATTTGATTTTAACGAAATCAAGGAATTCTATAATTCCCAAGAGCTAGATAACCCTACCCGAACAAATTCAATAAACTTAGTACTTAGTCTAGAAATTCGTCATAGCATAATCACACATTTGTTATTAAGACGCATTAATCAAACAAAGTAGCAACTAAGACTGCAAGAAGAAAGAACAATAAATACAAGTAATTGTCGATTTGTGCCATTAAAACTTTTCTTTCAATTTTGAAAAATAAAATTCAAGCGTAATTTATTTTTCAAAACTTCATATAATTATATTAAATAGGACAATATAATAAAAAACTTCATGTGTTTAAAGCATTGCATGCTAACTTTCTATAAATTGACTATTACTATGAGGAACAACTTGCTTTCTCTCTTCAGAACACTGATTCTTTGTTTGTTTATATGTTTGCAGCATCACCACCTCTTTTATTCGGTCTTCTTCTTTTCTCCCTTTCTTTCTCCAACCAACTTTCTTTTCTCCTATTCCTTCCTTTCCAATTGTTCCTTCTTTTCCTTTTTCTTCCCTTTTCTTCTTTCAACGATCGTTCATTTTTTCACCTACTAAACTAATCATACGTATCACTCATACCCTTTTCTGCTTTCGCTACCTCCCACAACTCACTTCAACGTTCAACAATGAAGTCTTTCGATTCTGTCACTGTAAGCTTCCTCCCTCTCCGTCTCACTTTCTTCACTAATTTTCGGCTGTCTGAGGTTTTTTTTCTCTCACCCACTTCCTTCATCAAACATGTTTCCCACTTTCTTCATCCGTCAACTTATAACCATCTTTTCCTCGACAAGTTATTTCAACTCCTTTATTCTCTCACTTTCTGTTGCTACTTTCTTTTTCTGCTATTGGTTTCATATTTTACACCCACTCTATTTTCAATACTGTGTTTTTGATGTTCACTTCAAAATTTTGTTGCATCCCTTGCATAACTCTATGATTTCTCTGCTCAGTTGGCCGAACACAGGATGGATAATCTGATTACACCTTTTCAATTATAGTTACAATACCCGTCAAATTAGGAATTTTGCTGGAATTTTATTGTATTGTTGCCACTCCAATTTTTTTTTTCTTCCTTATAAGAAGAAACTAGAGCCACCTTAGTTAGCTTTCTCCATGAACAATGCTTCAAAACTGTTACTTTTGGTAGAGTGGTGGGAAGAATATAATCCTGCATGATATTTACTCATTTGAGCACTGGCAAGATGTATCTTCTGGCTAGTATTTGCTGCTCGCAATTGATTTGACAAGATTAAGATTCACAAAACTTGGACTGTTTAACAAGGTCAAGTGGTTGCGAAATCCAACATAAATTTGATCGCATCTGTTACATCTCTTATAGCTTTGATGAATGGTTCCCAATTCAATTTAGGCTGGAGAAATGGAAACAACTGGGCCCACTCACTATTTGATGGAATCCTGATAAAATTTCGCCCACTCACTATTTGATGGGATCCTGATAAAATTATAACAATAGAGAACTTGTGGGAAGAGCATGCAAATTGTAGCACTCAACTTTTAGGCTCTGGCAGTTTGTACCTCTAGTTGAATTTTAGTTACTCCTGTTTTTACTTTCTGCAACTGAAAATCAGTTTTGCTTACCTGAAAATATTCTGGGTATTATGTATGCAGAGATTAGCACGATGGGGACTAATTCATACAATACCAGATTCAAAATCAAATGCTTGCAAGGTTTGTTATTTTGGGGGGAGAAATTCTTTTTTATATATAACTTGTAAGCTTACTTCTTTGGAACCATCTCCAATTCTCTTCATTTTTTCATTTTCGTAGAGACAATGCTAGCCTTTTAGATGAAGGAATTATTGCCAGAACATCTAACTTGGAAATGCGGCCCTTATGGGACTCTGGTAAAGATCATGTATGTGTGAGGTGTGCTAATTCTGGGACTCTCGACCACCTTGCAAAGAAATTGGTTGCTCTCTTAAGCGAGACAGAAGGATAGAAACATGTTCTGTTGCAATATCTAACCGTTCCTTAGATTTAGCAGATTCTGTCATCAGAGATGAAACCATGTTTTGTAGTAACTTAACTCTCTCGGCATGATCGTTTGGCGCACTTTGAAGAAGCTTAGAAGAGGGCATGCTTATGCGACGCCATCGAATAGGAAGATATCCATCTGGAATCTGAAAGCAATTTCCTGTTGAAAGAACTCTAAGAGAATGCCGACAAAGAATACCAGTGAACTCGAACTGATGGCAGCTACAACTTATAATTCCTTCTTGAGGGGCCCAATAAACTTTCCGACCTCCCTCAGCTTTGGTGTGGTGCCTCACAAGAAAACCATCTTCAATTGGAAACGATGCATAATGTGCAGCCAGTACAAGTTGTTCTTGGAGCTTTGAAAAGGCAAAAGGAGTGAGGATTGTGGCAGCGTGTGATTCCATAGGGGCCCCTGTTTTGAGGCAAACATTTTGGAGATTCTGCTGCATGGTTTGTTGTTCTCCAGTTTGATCTTTAAAATCCACAGCAACAGCTACCTGATTATGCCAAAAAAAAAACAAGTTAACAGATATAGATCTTTCACTATAAAACATTGGATAAAACCAAATCTGCAAATACACTTTGAAAACTAAAAACAACATCCAAATCAATAGAGACATAAAGATATAATACCTGTTCAACAAAGTGTGCAAGGCGAGTTTGTGCACTCAGAAATCGTTGAATGAAAGCATTGATTGACTTTGACTGACCAGTTGAAGTCATTCCAGCAAGAAAATGGCTTCTCAAAAATGGCAACGCCCAAAGAGAGCGTGAACTATATAAATTAACCATGTGCCGATTGGAGTGCAGCCCAAAAGAACAAACCATTTCCCTCCAACCTAGATCAAAATCCTCAACTGACTCAAGATTATAAAGTCTATAAAATTCAGCCTTCCACTCATTGTACCGTTCCCCTAGAACAGCATTAAACCAAGATGGAAACTTTGCTACTATCATCCATATGCAGAAAGCGTGTTTTGTTGTAGGCATTTCTGTGGATAGTGCTTCTTTGAGACATATATTTTGGTCGGTTAATATAGTTTGTGGAGCCTTTCCATTCATGAACCCTAAGAAAGCCTTCCAAGAAGGTGATTTATAGAAAAAAAAAAAGAAAAACAAAAGAAACAAGCAATGTAAATTAAAAAGATGCGTAACTTCTCGTAAATTTAGATTCCACAAGTAAAAAGTGAAAGAAATAAATTTTCAACAGCATTCTTGTCCATTGTATAAGGACTATTATAAGGACACATCTACCAAAGCATAGGCAACTCAACAAGAAAGATTTTGCAGTGGAAGTAATTTAATTGCCATCCACTCATTACCACATGAACATTAGTATGTCCTAGAAACTACCATGTTGTTTATGACTTCAATATAAAATTTGTTGCCCTTCCATTTCGCCTGTTTTCACTAATTAGGGCAGTATGTAAAATATTGAAGAGCCCACGACACAATTTGAATAAAAAATAAAAAATTAATGATGTTAACTTCATCACAGTACCTTTAGTGCCCAGGAAAACGATCTCACAGTTTCATCCCGTAAAAGTGTGCAGCCAAAAAAGCAAGGC